GTAAACCAGAAGCTGAAGGGTTTGCGCTGCACCCAGAGGGGCTAGGCAGTTGGATGGTGGGTTAAAACAATCAAAGGGGATGCCAGATAGGTCTATGGCCTGAGAGTGTGATTAGGGACCACAAGATTGGGGCAGCGGCTGGACTCCGTTGGGGTTCCAGGAGCTTAACACACCCCAGGGCATTCAGAGCACAGAGGCTTGGATTCCCCGCAGAGCAGTCCTAATAGGCAACTAGGAAGGGGCGCTTATTAGGATCTGTGCCAGGGGGGAATGATACTGCAGGTAGGAGAAGCGGATGGGTGGAACAGCCCCCAGTCTCCTTGGCATGGCAAATAGCATTTGGTTAATACTGCTCCTAGGAACATTAGCCCCCATGTTTACACTGTCTTTGGTGAGGGGGTACTAGCCCCAGGCATGGACAATGGAGTTAGGAGCTGTATGGCTCCAAAAGGAGCTGTGCTGCCAAGGCCAGGGCTAGGCTGGCAGAACCACAGAGAGGTAGCTATGGTTAATGCTTCCTTTTCTCCTGGATCCCTGGACTCCATTGTCTCCTCCACGATCACACACTCCGTTCCTCCTCTGACCTCTGAAGGGAGCACAAATCAGTAATACAGCCAGTTTCCCAATCCTCTGTCCTGCAGCTCCCCTGCTGTTGTATTGTCTGGTTTCTTATTGCTTGGGGATTTTAGTTTTGTATATCAAAAATTCCTTTTAATCTGCTCTAATAAAATCCCAGAGCAGCTGCAATGTCAAACCAATGATGGGTTGACAGTCTGTCCAGTGACAGATTATACTTTCATTTATAAAACAGTTGGGGCATTCCTTCCTTCTAGCGAGGATGGTTTCTGCCCCTCCTACTTCCCTTTGATATACTATTTAGCCCAAGCCAGTAAAACATACAAAAACTTTCACACTTGTTCTGTTACCTTATAGAGCGGTTGATATTGTCATGGCAGTTTCTGGAGATACTAAAATTTCTGATGGTGGGGTAATTGCTCTGTGGACAACATTCCAAGTTTCTTAACAAGCCACACTCCATGAGTCACTGTTTCCCCATCTTCCCATTGCTGCCAGTAGGTGTCAGACGTTCTCCTTGCTCATTGCCTGCAGACTTGGGTAAGCACAAACTCCTGAAACTCAGATGTGCTGAGCAGCTTGTGCAAGACGTTGAGCACCCTCAGGCACTCTGTAACTCACAGGAATGGGTCCTGAAAAAAACCCATATTCAAACTCTACTTCCACAGGGGTTTTCCCAGAGCCTGCCCTTTATTTAAGGCAGGTCTCATTGTAAATAGTGGACGAATTATTAGGAAGCTACAGTGGCTGCCAATTCATATTTACAACCAAATATGGGCCTAAACCAAACCAGCAGATCCAAATACCCTCAAACTTCAAGGAAGCTCAGACCTGGAACTGAAATTGGTGGCTTAGCCCCCTCTCTATTTGGAGTAAGAGAAATTGTTATAAAATACAGTGTAGGGAATAATCCTTCATTGCCAAGAAGAGGAAGTAGGTAAATTCCTAGATTTACTCGTGGTTCTTGTACGGTTTCATTTTGTGACCTTGAGCAAGTCACTGCACTGCTCTGTGTCTCAGTTTTTCCGTCTGTAAAATGAAAATAGTATCTACCCTCCTTTGGAAAAAACTTTGAGACCTACATGTGAAATTGCTAAGCAGTATTATTTCCAACTCTAATTTCTTTTATTTTTTTTATAATATATGGGGTGTGGTTTGTTCCAGTTCTTCTCGCCTGGTCTCTTGTTAAGCCATGTTGCTTCTTCCTCTTTAATATCTACCTTCTTTTCTCTCTCTCTCTCTCTCTCTCTCACACACACACACCCCCACCCTAAAGCTGTTGCCCAGGATTTGGTCATATGTCCCTGGTTACTGTAACCTCCTTCATAGCCTTCCATCTTCAAGCCATTCAAAATACTGCTGATAAAAGTAATCCTCTCCAGCCACTCCAAACTTATCACCCACCTCCTCAAATCCATCCCTTAGCTAGCTTCCTGTCTCTTACTACAGCACCTCCACTCTCCCTGCCTGCATCTCTGCTCTCATTTCTTCAAACTCTCTACTTGCTCTCTACACTCCTCCCCAACTTCTCACCTTTCACTCTTTTACACTGTCACCTTGGAAAAGTCTCCCAAGTCAAGCCAGCCCACTACCTCCAAAACCAGTTCTTCTAGGTGCATTGCCTTCCCCTTTTGCCTCACCGAGCCTCTCTCCTCACCCTTCCTTTCTTAGCCACGTCTTGTCTTCCACTTGTCTTGTCTCTTTTATGTTATAAACTCTGTGGTTTTTTGTTTTCATTCTGGAGAAGTTTTTTCACTCAGAGATCCTCAACTAGTGTAAATTGTCATACTGGGAACACTCCCATCATTACTGGAATTATTTACATTGCAGTAGCACCCATAATAGGCCCCGATCAGAATCAGGATCCCACTGGGCTAAGCACTATACCAGGGGTAGGCAACCTATGGCACGTGTGCCAAAGGCGGCACGCGAGCTGATTTTCAGTGGCACTCACACTGCCCGGGTCCTGGCCACTGGTCTGGGGGGCTCTGCATTTTAATTTTAAATGAAGCTTCTTAAACATTTTAAAAACCTTATTTACTTTACATACAACAATAGTTTAGTTATATATTATAGACTTATAGAAAGAGACCTTCTAAAAACGTTAAAATGTATGACTGGCACGCGAAACCTTAAATTAGAGTGAATAAATGAAGACTCGGCCCCCCACAGCTGAAAGGCTGCCGACCCCTGCGCTATACAAAAGACAGTCCATGCCCCAATTACCTTATATTCTAAAAAGACAAAGTAAATAGAAGGTGGGGAAAATTGATACACTATCAAAACAAAGCAATCAGGGTGAAACCAAGTGTGTTTCTGATTCCACTTCTCTCTCTCACACACACACGGTTTTTAATGTAATACAAAAACACTTTAAAGATTTTATGGGAAGGGATTGATGGAAAGAAGGAACAATCAGGCCTAACTAACACTCCAAAACACTAATATCTTCAGCTGGGAGATGCTATATTAAAGCATTATATTTTTAGTTAAATATATCAGTGTAACAGAGCTCCATCTACTGGTGCTTATCACACTTATTTGAACCACATCATTTTTAGTGTTAATTTGTGCTTAATATCCAATTCTTACATTATTTCAAAAGACAGAGAACTATTACAAACACATAATACAGCCATTGGGTTACTTGATACACAATCTTTCAGTGAAAGAACATTCTAAAAATAGCTACCAGGAATACTGACCATGTCTGAGCAACATGTAAACGTGTATAACTTATCATGGGCAATGACAGTACTGTGTATGAATTCCTACAACTTAAACAGTTTTCCTAGGAAATTAACTTTATTTATTTGGGTTTGTTTAAGATATTGATGTACAAGTCAAGCACATGGTATAAATCCCTGTGAATAAATACTGCAAACAATTGGGTCTTTAAAATTTAAAACAATAGCCAACAAATACACATGTAAGTATATATGCACTCAGTGCACACACACAGCATTCATGGGAGTTACAACATATACAATGGATGAAGAGAACGTATCATTTTCATTTCTCAAAGGAGAGGTGTTTCGTAATATTGCAGTGAGCTCAGTTGATCACAGCATCAAGACAGATTCAATTTAAAGTACTTTGGTCAACTTGGCTTTAGTTGTTGAGTATTTCAATTTAAATTGGGTCTTCTAAGATGCTGCTTACTATTTTCTTCTCTCTTCTGAGCAAGTTATCTTGGCAAAATATGATGTGTTATAAAAGATTAAATCGCACACTCTAGCACAGTCATACTAAAAACATGGTCCTCGTCAGAAAAGAGTCTGGATGAAAAATAGAGATTTCTTAGTAAAAAGAAATTATTCCGTGTGTGTGTTTAAAGTCATATTTGCTACTATAGTGAGAAAGGTAAGTTTTTACTATTTTTTTAAGTCATATTAGCACTGCATAGCTGACACAACACTAAGGAAGAGTGAGCTGGGTTCTTTTCTGGCTCATATACTGTCAATAGAACTGTTAACTATTATCACAAATGCTTCATTTATTACTTGTTTGCAGTGTTGCTGTAGCCTTGTGGTCCCAGGATATGATAGAGAGAAGATGGGCAAAATAATATCTTTTACTGGACCAATTACTGCTGGTGAAACAAAATACATTTATTACTGGCTATGACGCATGAACCAGAAAGAACACAGCTTGGATTTTAGATCCAGGATTAAGTTTGCAGCAATAGCAGTTACAACCATTTTTTCTACAAGTACACTGAGCAAATTTGGACCCTAATTCTACTTGTAAACTGAGTGAACAGGTCTCTGGGCAGGCACAAGAATCCACTCATGAGAATGGGATTGCAGGATCAGAGTGTTGATGTGCAAGTCAGAGCGACTCAGATTCCACAATTTAAAACATCCTGTACCCGAAACTTCTTAGTTGATATTGTATATATGACTCTTTAAAATCAATTGCACATCATTATTAATGTTTTTGCTCACTTTAATCATTAAAAAGGGGACAGAGCAGCCAGCAAATTTAGTTTCCATTATTTTAGCAATACTGCCTCACTGTATTATTATTTTGTTTTAAATGACTCAAACATAACACCCAGAACAAAGACACTACATCTACCACATACTGCAGTTATACTTGAGGTTCAAGTCTTTTGACAAATGATTTTGTTTCTACAAATAACTATTTACAACATATTTTAGTACAGATATATACAATGTGACTTTTTTATAGAGTAACGTATAAAACCACTGAAAACTGCGACAATACTTGATAAAGGAATACTCCAAAATTTAAACTGAGGGAGATGGGAAATCTGTTTTGTGAGCAAGATGTGTAGTCTACAGCTAGAAATACTGAGAGCCATGCAATACTTTCATTTAGGAAAGAGGAGAGAGATGGCATTTCACATTACATGCAATCTAGGGGAAATAAAAAGTCCAAAGATTGGATCAATATGTGCGTGTGTATATATATGGACTGCACTTCTTTTAAATTGATGGACTATACACATCACACTAGAATCCAAAGCCTCTTATCTGCAGATTTACACAGTGCAGAAGGTTCTCTAATATTATTAAGACAATAGGTCTTGAATACAGCCTGGAAAAAGTCTCTAGTTATGTATGTCCATGTTTTTTCTAAAATTAGGTTCTGCATCATCCACTTTGAAATGAAAAGGGACTAAACTCCATTTTAGAAAGCACAATAACAGCTGATTTTACCTTCTTGGAAACAGGTATCTACTTGGGATGTGATCCCACAATATTAAAGTTTTGCAATCCTCACTTTTAATTGTTAACATAGCTTTTTTTCCTAAGTGCACAGAGCAAGATGAAGTTAAGATGTAAATCTGAAATATTTTAAATTGCATTTTTATTATACAGGGCCAGATATAAAATTAAAATGTACATTTTATAGTATGACTAGATCCCAAAAACACAGGGATAATCTAAGTTCTTGGTTACCTCTGTTTTCAAATACCTCAGACATTTTGGCCAAGATACTCGTCACATACAGTAGTAAGTGTACACTCATCAACAGTTTGCCCATGATTCAGGAAGAAATCCACCACTGATATTCTTCTACAAAAATTTACACACCGTGATACAGCTGATAAAATGTTTGGAAGTTATGATTTCTGATAACAGTATTTCTCTTGAGGTTCAGCTACAAATCAATCTGCTTACCTGGCACTAATTTATCTGAATATATAATTGTATGAATGCATAATTGTATCAGAAGCTGATATGAACAGTGTAGTTACTTGTTAAACTGCTATTGTAAAGAGCAGGGAAGTGAATATAACACATGTGCACTTCATTTTCTTTTCTGCTATGCAGCTGAGACAAACATTTTTTTGGCTGCCACAATACAGCGCTAGATTTTGCCATATGGCATTAACCTGTGATAACCAGGAAATGACAAATGATGATGATCTGATAGAACAAGATAGCATTGTGTCTCTGTAATATGGAAGATAGGAAAGAGTGCAACATGTAATAACCAGAACGTATTGTTTCCATTGGAAACTGTGGCAACAAGAAGTGACAAATAATTATGTCCTGCTAGCCTTATTTCCATGTATTATGGAAGATGGGGAAGGGTATGCCAGAAAAAAATTGTCGGTAGTGGCTCAGAAAGGAACAACAGAGTGGATTAAATTGAGCAGAGTAAAAGTTTACAGTAGATACCAGGAAAATTAGTATCAGATATACTATAATCTTTGCAGTGATAGAGTGGTATCAATCTCATCTGCAGAATTATGCAAATTTAGATGACACAATGCACTACGGGACAAATTCTTCCCTCTGGTGTACACATCTAACTCTCAATACAATGTGCATCTGAGGACAGAAAGGCGGCCAAAATTCCATTTTCAAATACTTAGAGGAGGGACCCTCTCCTTTAGGCACAGAATCAGTGTTCTGTATTTCAGCTTGTCCTTCCCAATGGTAGGTTGCTGGCCAAATGATAAACCAAAGCTTGTGATACTATTCGATAAATTTTCAGAATGTAAAAAATAAAAATTTCACATGTAATCAGAAAACATTTGTTAGAGGTTTTCTAAATGTCTTTTAGAACCATTACACTATCTGAGATACTGGATTATCTCCCTATTATTGTCAACTGAGATGATAACTTTGAAAGAGGAACAATGGATAGTAGTCCATACAACTGAAATTTCATCACTGAAAAAGCCATCACATTGGCAATTCATTTGGACACGTGTTCTTATTTTCTTCAGCTGTATTATTCTGCTTCTCACTTTTGTAGCTAGAAAGGAATAAGTTTTCTATCTGAGTCAAGAATTCTTCAGCAATGAAGCAGTTCGTTACCTTGCCCAGAGTCTTCCTCATACACTCCAAAAGCTAGTTTAAAAGAAAATTATTATTAAGTTCAGAAACACATAATAACTGCTCAACTTAGAAGTTTCAGTAGAAAAAACTAAAGAAACGGTTTTGTCTTTCTAGCTGATAAATGCTGTAAGAGTAAACCTTGATTTATTTGGCAGGTTTGCAGAAACCGTTCAATATAAAAAGTGTATACAGGGATTACCATAAAGAAACAGATCAGTGATCTCTTTTAGTCTGGGGCCCTGACTCTGATAGTTCCCTATACCAACTGCTTTAGAGGAAAGCTGGATCAATTGTGCTTAAGGGAACAATTATTTTTGACTTTAGCTGGTGATCAGTTTGTGTTCAATAATTGGTTATGAAATATAGGCTTGAAATAATAATCTTTGCAACACAGAACTTACATTATTCTATAGACAATTATGCACAGGATTCTTTACCATAAATCATACAATAGTTAAATTCAAAAGATCTTTCTGCCAGTTCAATTTTAGATTTAAGTTGTTTATGAACAGTCATGTTGAAAGAAAAAAAATAAATGAGAGTAATTATTGCATGTCTTCTGTTTATATGACTTTTGCTTTGAGCAAATTTTCTGTCTTGTTTATACAATTAATGTTACAGATTCAATTATTCAGAACTTCATAAAATTCTCACTTATGCATGACAAATATGGAGCAACATCATTTTAAGAATAGGATAAAGGACTTAGGAGACTAATTCTCTCAATGTGCAACAACTCTTGTTGATGTAATAGCAGTCAAACATGCAGAGAAGAGGCAATAATTTGCTTTTTTCCCTTTTAACTAAGGTTAAAACTTCAAATATTGCTTTAATCATTGGCCTCAACTCCAAAAATGAAGTCAACAGCAAGTATGGAAACATAACCCAACCTTATTTTCACAGTTATGGTAAATAAAATTATGAGCTGCAATATAATAGGTATGTATTGCAACTGGCCTAAAATTGTGATTTTCATGGCTGAGATTATAGATGTTTCAGATTACTCCCAAAAAAGTGACATTTAAAAAATTTAAATGCTTACTTTTTGCAAACAGGTCAGGTCAGAATCCCTGTGAAAGATTTTATCCATGGGGACACTGCTATTGAAAGAAATATAAAAAGTCTTGATTGGATGAAATGGACGAATCTGTTTTCTATTGAAATACTAATAATAAATACACAAAAACTGTGAAGTGGCTTATCTTAAAAACAAGTATATTGCAAGCAAACACACACACACACCTATGAGAAAGCCTGTATTTTTCGATTATCCATCTTGTTTTTTCAAACACTAATTCCCACTGAGGTTCTTCCAACATCTGATGTACTTCAAACTTGTAGGGCAGGCCTGTAAATCATTAAAACAGGATTACTCCCTGGTTCCCTTATACCTGCCACTCCTCTTCAAAACTGGAAGCAATCTCCCTCCTTCCTTGCAACTGTTCATACTTTACTTATGCCTGTTGCAGCAACAATAACTTGCAAACCTATTACTTACCAAAACTAAGCAGGTTGAAGTGACACTGTCAGCTAGTTTAAGGCTCCAAATTTAAGTTTGGTAGAAAAACAAAGTTTTTTTAATTAAATTATACCACATTTTTGTTTGGGGTTAAACTTTCAAAACAAAATAGCTCTGCAAAAGAATAGTAAAACAGCAAAACTAAACATTTTATAATTTATCACCACTTTCTTTTATTTTTAAAGTCACATTTCTCATCTCTTGGCTGGTGTCCCAGTGTTCCCTGTGGATTAAACCATATGGGTAATATGTATTCTTTTTTATTCACAAGTGAGGTGTGGTGGCTGATACTGTGGTGACTGATTGTTACCCTAAGTTTGGGGGGAGGGTAAGAGAGAGTAAGGAAAGTTAAGTTTCTAAGCAAGAACTTCAGTCTTAAAACTTCTAGTTACATTACTGAGAATGGGCATAGATGAACAAACCTAAAAAGTAATATACATAGAATGCAAGAGGATGACTACTAGCCCACAAATCAGTTACCAGATAACCTGGGTGAAGACAGTAAATTCTAGTAAACATTAAAAATAAGTCTTTTCAGGATCAAAAGAATATAATGAGCTGATTCGCATGCTTTCATTCAAAACCTCAGAGGAAAGAAAAAGAAGGCAATAGCTACAATTTACTATGTGAAAACATCTCAGATTTGAAAAAAATGTTCAGTCAGTGCAAAATGGACTTTCAAGAGCAACAATGTTCATCCACTCAAATAGTTATCACTGATGTGAAACTCCAATTTCTGTCCATTTCCCATAAACTCACATATTTTTGCCACAACAGAACATAGCTGCACCAGAGTTAAATATGGAAAATACAATGAATAATGCAATTGTTAGAGTGCTTCGCAAACCTTTAAGGAATCACTGAAGGACCATGAAAGACACTGAAAAATATACTATGTATCTAATATTGTAATTTATTTAATTAACAAGAACAATTGTATAGAAAGAAACAGATTTGTTTTTAAGACACGTGTATGAATTATGTTTCTATCTGCACTGACTGGGAAGGTGGCCACATGGTTAATATTCCACATAAGATACTAGAGTTTGGTTTCCAAAAGTCTAGAAGGTTATATTTAAGAAAAATGTATTTACTCCTTATAGTGTATCTATTTGCCACCTGAAAACAAGTCATCTCCAAAATCTACGTAACAAAAAGATGACAATGACTAAGGCCAGGTATCATTCACAAGCACTTTAGCTGTGAGTCATAGAAAAGTCAAGATGGCAGGAACAGGGTTACTCTATGTGATGCTGTCAGTATGGTAATCAAGGAGTACCACAAAAAGGTCATCTACACTCTGCCCACAGCATTGGGAAGCACATTTCCAGGTGGTTGATCTCTCCTCAGTACAGGCCATTATAAAACATAATGAGGGAAGTGTCAGATCTATCTATCTTCCCCAACACCGCAAGATTCAAGTCCCTGATGTTTGGAGGCAAAGGCTGAGTTAGGGGACAGCATTTATGAACTGTGGAACACGAAAAATTAATTCTACTAATGGACTGTTATCCTATGACTTTTCCTCAGATCAGCAAGGGAGTAAACACAGGAAACAGATCAATTCTTATAGTCCTTGTAATTTTTATACAAAGTGTCTCTAGGAATTTTTTTAAAAAGGGGAGGGGGAAAATACATCATATAACACATAAGATGAGGCTAAATGAAAGGTGTGTCTACATGGAATGGGATTCAGAGCCTTCTGTGAGGTGTCAGGGTTTTTTTCCCATCAACATTGTGCCCCCCACATGCTATTTATTAGTTATCAAAATATCCAAGGGCTGGTCTACACTGGGGGGGGGGGAAATCGATCTAAGATACGCAACTTCAGCTACGCGAACAGCGTAGCTGAAGTCGAAGTATTTTAGATCGAATTACCTGGGGTCCACACGGCGCGGGATCGACAGCCGCGGCTCCCCCGTCGACTGTGCTACTGCCGCTCGCTCTGGTGGAGTTCCGGAGTCGACGGTGAGCGTGTTCGGGGATCAATATATCGCGTCTTAATGAGACGCGATATATCGATCCCAGATAAATCGATTGCTACCCGCCAATACGGCGGGTAGTAAAGACGTACCCCAAGTCAAGAATTGATAAATTTAACAGATGCTTACTAGCCAAAAGAATAAACCTACCAGCCAGAGTTGATATGTGAAACTGGGTGAAATGGAGCAAACCTGGAAGGTCTATGGGCAACATCCTTATAAGTAGCCCATTTTGTACTGCTGGAAAGGGGAAGAGAGCTGGGATTCCTGCCAAGTTATCAATCCCAGAATCTGTTTGGGACTACATCTTTTCATATTAGCCTCTGGCTGATAGGTATGATTAGTGTGAACTCCCTCTGCACACCAAATTCCCAACTACTGAAAAGTAGCCTCCAGTTATAGTACCCCTTCATCAATCTCTCTTCTTTGCTTCTCCACCCCTCTTTCTAGGTCTCTGTGATAGCGTGGTCCTCCTCTCCTCCATGCCTGTGTCTGCTCATAGTTTTCTGAAGGAGCAGAGTGAAAGTGACATAATCCTTAAGGGTTTCACTGGTGTCCACAGAGTTCTGAATACCAACAGTGAAACTGACCAGTCTTGATAACTTCACTTGGCTGTGATCTGGGAAAGCCATGAGCAGCAGCAGAGACAATACATGTCTGTATGCAGCCATGAAGACAACACTAGATCTCTGTATAGTTGGAAGTATTCCTTTTCACTCATGAGGTCACAAAATACTAATGGTTTTTTAAAGTAAAAGTTAGATTATGCAGGAACTGATGCTTTAAGCCCCTCCATTTCAGGGAAAGCTGCCCAACTTCAGAGATGAGAGAATCCTTCAAGCCCTTGTTCAAATGTTAAGAATATAAATTTTCCATCTAAAATCCTGAAGGCTCAAGAGGAGTGGGGTAAAAGTAATTAGTTCAGATACTTACGGTATGAGCCATCAGAACTAATCTCATCACTAATAACCAGACAAGTAATCTGAGAATATGGAAGAGGATTATTTCGGTTATAAGGACTTATGATCATTCCAATGAACATTGCCCCGCCTCTGGAGAAATAACTCTAAATGAAGGAAAAAATAAAATTGGTAATATATTTTCTAAGTGCAATACAAACTCCTCTTCCAACTATCTTTTATATTAAAAAATTAGAAGGTAGAGAGAGACATTAGTAAATCCTTACAAATCTGAGGTTAACCCACTCTAATGTAAATATAGAATATTATATTTATTATCCTTTCTTCCCTCAATTTCAATTAAACAATCTCTAAATTAATCACTGTAAGACTCTGTAAAGCTAAAAATCAATTTACAACCAAAATGATTTTCAATTGTGCAAACCAGAACCATTATTGCATTAAGCATATTAAATTATAAATACTAGAAATTAAAGGGTTTTTTTTACCATACACACAAAGGGTACCTGGTATTTAGCCTGAGTGTCAATATCTCGTATCGAAGGGTTGGGGTCAAATGCAGGGTGAGAGTGGTACCACCCAATAACACTGTACCCTCTAACAGCCAAGGTTTCTGAGGCCTGAGTTTGAGACACTGGATCCATCTCACACTGTAGTCCTGTACTGAGACTATTGCATGGTTCTGCTGCACAAATCTGTAAATAACATCCGCATATGGATAAATGGAAACATTGAGTGAACACATTTAAATCAATGTTAAATACTAGATTCTCTTATGCAAGTGTAGAAGAGATGACAGCCAGATATTTTTATGAGATCTTAAATTTTGTAATATCAAGATTACAATAATTAACTTTTCAAATTTCAACTTTTTAAGACTAAAGAACAACTAATTCAATAATCTGTAGGACACTAACTTTTGCATCAATTTTTTTCAATATAAGGCATTTAACCAATACTTTCAGTGAAATGCAGAATGAACATTGAAACCCTCCCCCACCCCCCACCAAAAAAACCCACCAAGAACAAAAACAACTTACTTCAACAATTCTATCAGCTTCAGAGTATCTTCCGCCTAACAGGCCTATTACTTCTGCCATGGAAACATGAGCATGCTAAAGATATATAATATATACACATTACTTAAAATATTTGTTAAAAATATCCATTTTCATAACTACTGCTAATCTTGGATTTACATTATAAAACACTATCTTCACAGGTTCTTTCACAGTAAGGTTTAGAAGGAAAACTGAGAATAATAAAGACTCTGAAATACTGTGTGTTTCAATTTAAAGTAACTGAATAAAGATGATCTTTGCCACCCATCTAAGTATTAAGTATGTATGAGGTGCTGTTAGTTGGAGAAACTGTCACCATTTAACACCAGGAACCCTGTGTCACAACTGAGAAGACTTTGGCCTGGCATGGCATACTTTGTTATTATAAAGAGAATACGCAAATACTGAATCATCTTCTGGATTGCTGGGCAAATAGAGTAATGATCCCAATGGATTCCTAAGTGGCAACATGCACAATGAAGAGATGTTTCTTTTGGAGCAACTCCTATCACAGAAGATGGATATCCTGGGAGAAATGGAACTGAGTACGGATCTGTTACTGCTCTTATTTAAGTCAGTGACAACTCTCTAGTGACTTCATCTGGAACAAGAATAGGCATTAACAGCCATTCATGCTGGTAGACAGCTTGCATAAACTATGGTTATTATTACAGTAAAATATATAGAATCATAGAATCATAGAATATCAGGGTTGGAAGGGACCTCAGGAGGTCATCTAGTCCAACCCCCTGCTCAAAGCAGGACCAACTCCCAACTAAATCATCCCAGCCAGGGCTTTGTCAAGCCGGGCCTTAAAAACCTCCAAGGAAGGAGACTCCACCACCTCCCTAGGTAACGCATTCCAGTGCTTCACCACCCTCCTAGTGAAATAGTGTTTCCTAATATCCAACCTAGACCTCCCCCACTGCAACTTGAGACCATTGCTCCTTGTTCTGTCATCTGCCACCATTGAGAACAGCCGAGTTCCATCCTCTTTGGAACCCCCCTTCAGGTAGTTGAAGGCTGCTATCAAATCCCCCCTCATTCTTCTCTTCTGGAGACTAAACAATCCCAGTTCCCTCAGCCTCTCCTCATAAGTCATGCGCTCCAGACCCCTAATCATTTTTGTTGCCCTCCGCTGGACTCTTTCCAATTTTTCCACATCCTTCTTGTAGTGTGGGGCCCAAAACTGGACACAGTACTCCAGATGAGGCCTCACCAATGTCGAATAAAGGGGAACAATCACGTCCCTTGATCTGCTGGCAATCCCCCTACTTATACAGCCCAAAATGCCGTTAGCCTTCTTGGCAACAAGAGCACACTGTTGACTCATATCCAGCTTCTCGTCCACTGTGACCCCTAGGTCCTTTTCTGCAGAACTGCTACCTAGCCATTCGGTCCCTAGTCTGTAGCTGTGCATGGGATTCTTCCGTCCTAAGTGCAGGACTCTGCACTTGTCCTTGTTGAACCTCATCAGGTTTCTTTTGGCCCAATCCTCTAATTTGTCTAGGTCCCTCTGTATCCGATCCCTACCCTCTAGTGTATCTACCACGCCTCCTAGTTTAGTGTCATCGGCAAACTTGCTGAGAGTGCAGTCCACACCATCCTCCAGATCATTAATAAAGATATTAAACAAAACCGGCCCCAGGACCGACCCTTGGGGCACTCCGCTTGAAACCGGCTGCCAACTAGACATGGAGCCATTGATCACTACCCGTTGAGCCCGACGATCTAGCCAGCTTTCTATCCACCTTACAGTCCATTCATCCAGCCCATACTTCTTTATAGACACAACCCTAAGGACATGAAGCAGTTTGGGATTTCTCCTGTAGTAGACTCTTGCTTTTAGCTCTAAATGGGAAGGAAACTAATTGAGGAAAATGGGGATATACCAAAATATATACTTCAGTCCATTATAAAACAATGCTTAATCCTTACCAAGTCCATTATTAAAAGTGCTTCTGAAGCCACTTTCACCTGAAATGGTTCCTGAAATGACAAGCCATAATGAGTACAAGAGACATCCTGTAAGTAAATAAATGAATGTTCTTGATTATTCATAAATATGTACCTACTCGTTTTTCTTCAGTGAAGAAACAGCAAGGTATCAGCTGAAAGGGATCAAAGGAACTACAAAATGAAAGAAAATTTCTCTAAAGATAAGGACAATCAATGAAAAAAAAAGTCTTTAAATAAATCACATTTTCTCCCAACAGCTCCTTCTTTGTTGGAGTTGCTCATTCCCCCGCTCCAGTGACTGGTCCCCAATTACTGGAATTTTGCAATTTACACCCATGAATTTAAACGGTAACGTTTTGTAATTTACAATTGTGATGTCAGACTTTTTAAAAATCTAGATTGCAAAGCACATATGTCTACATAGTAATGATTCATAATATTTAGGTTTGAATCTATGCAAGCCAATTATTATCTCTATTTCCAAAAGAGATATTGCAGAGCAAACAGCACACAAGAAGAAGACCTTTTTATCTGTCTTGATCCTTTAGAAGGTTTTGCAGGTTTAAGTTTCTCCTCCTCTCTCCTTCTTGCTAGTTCCTCAGCCGAGAGATGCTAAAAAACAAATTTTATCAGTAATGATTGCCAGGTACTTAGATTCTGGACACTAATTTGCACCCTGCCATGCTAGCAGCTTTTGTCACTGAATCACTCATGCACTGAAACAGCCAGAATACACCACGCAGTGTGAAAATAGTGACAGAGCCATTAGCACATAGATCTGTTTTTGCAGGAAGATGGAAGAGACTCTTCCTATCATCCCCGAGGCTTGATCTAATCAGAGTTCAAGTACTGGCATCCACATCTCACATAAGCCTTCGCTGTCAAATATATGCATAAGTACAACTTCCATTATAATCAGCTGGTCAAAACTTTCTCAAAGCAGTTCCTCTTTGGTGCTGAAATTTTCCACATTGTCTCAACCTAAAGATCATTCTTTGCAGGAAATGGTAGATGCGGCAGCCAAGCCATTCAAACATTTTAGTTATTAGATCCCATGCTTGCCTCAATCATGAAGCATGGCTGTCTTGTGAGTGACATTTTGTACATACATAACTCAATGGCAGAAAAGTGGATTTTGTTTAAACTGCATGTGTTCTCTAGATTTCAATGAGATCTAATAAACAAACTGAGTTTGAAAGAAAGTAGTTCAGCAATTTTGATGTAATTAATGTCACACATTTTCCCCCACACAGGAAGAGTAGGATTATCTGTTAAGTTTCTCTGCTCATTCTAAGGTTTAGAACACTAGGAGTGTGGATGCACAGTAGCCATCTGTCTGTTTAGTCTATATTGATTTTGAATGTTGATGGCACTGCGAAATACTTTAGTGTCATCTAAACTTGTAAACACTTCAAAACTCTGGAAAAATCTTAGAGTGTTGGATATCAGACAATTTTGGGGAGGGGAATGGCACTGTTCACTTTCCTAAACTCTATCCCTAGAGGAATAAGTGCAGGGCTGGAAACCTAAAAGGCCTAAATTTTCTTTCCACCTCAGCTAGTCTTAATAAGGTTACAGTAAAGAGTGTAAGAATCAGGACTGAAACCCAGGTCTCCTGACTGCTAGGTCTAGGTTTAGTCTACTAAAATAGTGCTTCCTAGGTACATCACAAATGCCACTCACTGAACCTGCTATAAGGTCCCCACTGTCTTACACCTAAAAACCCAAGGTAAAGGTGGGAACTGGTCAGTCACACATCTATCACCGCTCTCTTTCTTGTGCAACATATAAAACTCAGTACGTGATGTAAGGAAACTGTAACGTAGTACGTAGTCTTCAAGTAGAGTTTTGGTTGGTTTTTTTTGAAGTCACTATAAAAGATCTACAAAGCAAGATCTACAAAGCAAGGCAAGCATCAAATCAGTTTTATTTGTTATGAAGAATGTTTAAAATAAGCAAGCTGAAACTTTTTTTTTTTTTTTTTTAAAAGATAAACTCATACTCTTATTGTTGACAATTTGGAATAAAGAGCAACCAAATTCCAGATTTATGAATGCTTGATATTTCAACCTTGTGTTGAATTAAAGCTACATTTTTTAGACACAAAAGGTTTATATGATGTGAAGAGCAACTTTTCACTGAATGAGAATAAGACTGATGAAATCTGCAAATTAAAATAAGAAACATTATGGCCACGCGATGACAGTGTATGCTTTATAGTATGACTGGACATGTTTGGGACATGCATACTCAAAGCACATTCACCATATTAGCACAATTGCCTAACAGTTGCTCCAATATTGTTTTCAAATCATGGTTTCAAAAAGAACAAATGTAATTTTAATGCTTATTATGCAATCATTTTTTCTAATGCCTTTGATGAGATATCATCTGATAAATGGTTAGCAAGAATCATATCTACCAGAACAGTTTAAAAATAGAAGAGTTACCTCAAATGTCTGTCCTTCCAAATCCTTGGCATCACACCAGTTTCCCCAGGGGTCTCGCACACGCCGTCTTCTTGTACGCTGTAGGAAGCAAATAAAATACTAGTCAAACATCATCAATCCATGCACATCAAAGCACTGACATTTGCTGAATTTAATCAGCCATAAAATGACATCCAAATGGTCAGTGGCTCATAAGCATTAGGACTCCCAGAACAGTCCCACTGTATAACAGAGAACTCTTTACTTTCCTTTATATTCAACAGCTGGCAACCTTTCTAGAAATAAATCAGGAAAGGTTTTCCTTAAGCGGTACAGTAAATACCGGAGTAAAATCCATGGATCCATCCATCTAGTACAGACAGCATGGTTTAGTATATATGGGCTTGGCAGATTTCTCTCTCTCTTTTTTCTTTTTTCTTCGATTTCAACAATTAATATTTATTTTTATTTTTTCAATTTTTAACAGTTTTTATTTTTACAGTTGTGGGAAATTGGGCGGTGGGAGGGTAGAGTTGGAGTTAGGCCAGCACTGACACTACGGGGCTCCCGGTGTGGCTGAGGGGCCCAAGACACTGAGGCGCTAGGTGCCAGGGAGGCCTGGCGAAACAAAGACCCTTAGCCAAGGCTCCAAGGACAATGACGAGCCCCTGGCTACAGGGAAGGCCATCCTGCTGCCACACAATTCCTGCCAGGACAGCCCCCGCACTCCTGACTGGTGAGTGAATGAGTGAGCAGGGCCGTGACAACAGAGCTGCAGAGGGCTCCCTGTGCTGCCGCAGTACGGATGACACCCGTTCCCTGCAGGCGCATGGTGTGGGGAAGGCTGTGGTCATGGCAGGGGAGAGCAGAGACACCCAGCCAGGACCGCAAGGGGAGGTGGAAAATGAGCTGCCAGCTATAGGGAAATTATCCTGTTGCCAAATGGCTCTGTCCCCAAGCAGGACTTCAGCCTTCCCTGCACCTGCAGGGATCCAGCATCATCAGCCTTGCAGCCATACAAGGAGCTCTCTGCAGCTTCGTCGTCAAGACCCACGCACTCACTCCCATAATAGCATGGCTGCAGAAGGCTCAATCTGTGCTGCCACAGAACCAATACCACCCAGTCCCTGCAGGCACAAGGTGCAGGAGGGAGAGGCTGCACTTGCATCAACTGTTACTAGTGGATATTTTTTTCATCAATTTCAGTGTGTCAGCTGAAATCAACATTTACGGACATCGATTTAAATCGAATACTGCCAAGACTAAATATACTGGTAAACAATTGCAAATTGTGATTCAAACAGTATTGAGTACGGCTCATGCTTTCTGCATAACATTTTTTATTTCATAGATGGATTTTCTTTTCTGTCACTTCCTTTGTGGGGTTGATTTAGTTTTCTTGCACCAATAGATTTAAATACATAAGATATCTTTACAGCAAAATAAAAATTTGCTATGACATACACTAGTTACATAATTATCCTGCAAATCTTATTCTTTTAATGAAGCAATAAATTATTTATAACGTCCCATATATGCTTGGTTATAAATGCTGAGCTCTAAATAAGTCACTCCAAAAACTTGGTAAATGTACACATTAAAATGTAGGCAGCCTCACTATATGCTGCCAGAACACTCAAATGCTTTCTCACAGATGCAAATTATGCTGGGTTTTCTAGCTCCAGACAGATAAGACTTAGCAGGTTGGAGTGGAAGCCAACTGTGCAATAGAATAGTAATTAGGACAGGTATGACAAAGAATAACACTGGTGCTAAAGCAGACACTTGAATCAAAGAACACTCAGGAAAGCGATCGAAGTTTGAATAGGTTAAGAAGAAATTCAGAGAGATGCCCTGTATCGAAAGTGAAAGTTGAAGAGGCCCTATTACGGACACACACAACTTTTTATTTTCATCTTACCATAGACTGCAAACGCTGAGCAAGCTGGTATGCTTCTATGGTGTCTTTGCCTTCTTTGGATCGTGTTTTATCAGCTGGTTGTGGTCTGTTATACACAGCCTGTTCTATAGGAATGCAAAGCACACACATTATTGTTCACTAATCCTGGTAAATAAAAAAATCCATATTTAATACAAATCTCAACTAGGAGGTATTACTCTATGATCAGGCAATAGTATAGTCATCTGGTCCTCACTCAGTAGCAACCAACTTTAGGAAAGGAAAACTTCGTTCTTATCTGTGAATTTTCTTTCTAGGACCCTCCATGTCCAGCAGTCTGTACGTGGGGCATTCTCCCTCCCCGAAGGTTGGAGGCAGAACAAAGTTTCACACACAGCTAAGGGCCAAGATCACCACCTGTGGAGAATCCCAGAATGGTGGCTGCCAAAGCTGAAAATTACTAGCTGTGGGGCCAATATGAGTCAATCAAGAGGATGGTGGCCGATTCCTCTAGGATCTTTTTTCTCATCCTTGCCAACAGAGGTACGTGGAGAAAACCGTAAAGTAAGCATAGTCACCTTTGAGACAGAACATTGATTCCTTCCCTTGAGGCAAAGAGATCTGTGATTGGAACCCTGAACTTTTTCTACACCTCCTGAAATAGAGATGGATTCAAGCTCCAGGTCCTTCCTGGAGAGATGATGCTCTAACAAAGTCAACAGATGTATCACTTCCTTGTGGATGGAGGAAGATTTCGTTCCCCCTTGTTGGCTGATGTATGCAACTGGAGTGGTGTCATTGGCTGTGAGATACATGATGCTGGTGGACTGGCTTTTGAAAGCAGAGGAGGGTTAGTCTGATCATCCTGAGCTCTAGCTCGTTTATATGCCTCCTCTTCTTCAAACTGGACAAAGTCCCATTAGTCACTGTCCTGTTGAGGAGTGCTCCCCATGCATGAAAGTTTACAGTGATGGTGATCGTGAATTTCACCAGTTTTGATACTGGACACGCTGTTGGAATCTTAAAGGTGATTCAGTCCACCACTTGAAGTAGGAAGTGATTCACTTTGGAACAGTGATTCTCTGTTCCTGATTGGGTGCAATTTCTTCCTATGATAAGAAAAATATATCTAAGCATCCTTAGATGAAATCTGGTCTGTTGTAGAGTATTTACATATGAAACTAGCATACTGAGGAGTTGTATCAAGGACTTCTAGGGATGTCTGATGACCAGATGACACTTAGTGAATTAAAGAGAGGGTCTTCTGTTGTCTCTCCTCTGAAATGGTGTCTCTGATCACTCCTAAAAGCAAAAGTCACTGAGATGGCTAGAGAAGAGTCTTCTGCATGTTCACCAGAAACCCATTATCCCGGATGCAGGTTACAATCTCCTTTAGATGCTGAAGGGTGATCTGATAGTCTCCTTTTCAGGTACTTGTCCTAAGTAGGGATAAACATGTACCCCCTTTCTCTGAAAATGCAAGACCACCAGGATCTTCGTGAAGACTCGTGGGGCAGACACTAGTACAAATGGGGGAGCCCTGAACTGAAAATGCTTCCCATTATAACAGAAGGGCAGAAATTTCCAGTGACTCTCCTTGACTATCACATGAAGGTAAGCCTCCTTGAGATTTACTGAAGTCATTAAATCCTGGGGTGATAAGAGTCGTAACAATAGACTTTAGTGTTTTCAATCAGAACTTCAGAGACCTGGTGGATTTGCTGAAGGATTGGAGATCTAAGATGGCTCGTGTCCCCATTTTTCTTTAGGATCACTAAAAATATCAAGTACACCCCACAAAATCTGTCTTGTTGATACCAGCTGTACCGCTCTAATGCCAAGATGGCTTTTAGTTTTTGGTTTTTGGTCAAGTTGTTTGATCTGGGAAATACTATGAACTTATCTCTGGGGAACTGCTAAGTTTGATGGCATAACCCTGTAGAACTGCCCGTAGCATCCATTTGTCCAAAGTACACGTTGCCCGTATTTGGGTAAATTTCTGAAGACTCTTGCCAAGTTAAGAGGTCTTCTTGGAAGTGGGGCCCCAGACATAGTCTGAGGCAAACCTTGCTTAGAAACCCACAGTTCTAGGAGTCTCCAATTAGTCAAATTCAAGATGTTTTTGCTAGTCCAATCCTGGAGGCTTTGCTACAACAAGGAGATCCCATGTTTACCCAGGAGTGGAGGCAGAGAACTCAAGTTATCCACAAAGAGGCTGTCCTGGCCCCAGGCTGACTGTCAATCTTTGCTCTGCCATCAACCAACAGAGTGAGAGGGAACATTGCATAGTACAGACTGTAGGACATGAGGAGGGGCTGTGAGAATTATGTACGTTCACTCACAAGACAGCTGTGGTTCCTTCAAACTATATACCAGGTTAGCTACAGAAACAGGTTAAACTGCTAATTTTCAATAAGTTATGCTTCTCCCATCTTAGGAGAAAGTGCAGTCAATAATCAGAATCCATACTTGAAGACACCAAGTATTTTGAAAATTTAAAAGCAAAACAAAAGCACAACTTATTTTCTTTCAGAAGGTCTATAATCTTAGAGCCATATTCTGCAACCTTCATACTTACTAATATCTATTCATACAAGTAGTCCATTAGGATTTATATGATGACAAGGGGTGGGAGGTCAAACAGGTCAGGACGCCATTTGGCGAGGTACCTGCCCCAAACAGCTTACATGAAATAAGGGTGACTGGAGACTTCAGAGAAAAAGGGAGATGGAATGAAGATTACCCACATGGATAGTTTTGATTGGACTGAATGCAGAAGGTTCTCGGGAATGAATTTAACTCAAAAAATTCTTTTGAAAATACAGATTTCTCTCTACCTTGATTTTTATACCTCATATAACATACACAACTTATCAAAATGGTTTCTGACCAATAACAGATACTATTAACATTGTGGTTATAATCTGAATGGATGCAGATTAAAATGTTCTTTTTACCACAGCCAAAGTTAATTGCTCCTATTAACTCCAGGTACGTGTGTATCCGTCCAATACAGTTAACATCACCACAGTTCTTAAGGCCTGGCCGTACTGAAGTCTTATTCAGGTATTTAGGTTTACATCGCTCCCTAAAATAAATCATAGGACATTTTCAAACAAAAATAAAATGGATCAGTAAAAATTAAAAAAAAAAAAAAAAAGAATAGTTTAACTGTTCGGTGAAGCCATTTGGATTTCCTTGTATTTTTTCTACAGGAATTATTGGGAGATTCTATTTAACATGTGTCACACTCAGACCTAGAATGCTAGTGGTAAACAAGCTTATATTCACCCCCAAAAAGCTACTCATGAAGTAGGATTGTACTGTTTGAGTGGCTGTTTTCTAAAGTACACTCTATGCAAAATAACATAAGGAATAGTCTGAGTATCCATACAGATATCCAAGCTTCATAGAAAAGTGCTAATTTATGATGGTACTTGAGACTGTGCAGATTTATTCAAATACATGCATAGGGAAAAAGATATCCACACACAGCATAAAATATAGGCCCTGGAAATGAATGGTGCCAGGGAGCAACAAGTTATTGAAATTAAATGACTTTGTTAAAATAAAATACTTGTTCCCATTCTGTATCACATGTTCTATTGTATTAAACAATTATTTTAAGTAATTGCATAAACAACTTGTATGTTACTGTGTGATAATCCTGTTTTTTATCCTTCATGCACATTTACTGCTTTGAAGTCTGTCAAAATTTCCCTAGAAATATGGGAGCTTACAACTACTCCAGAACTAGTGAATAGTTTATCAATTTATAAGGCAATTAACCTAGAGCTGAGAGAATACTGTAACATTTTTAAAGTGAATACAGTTAAACTCAGAAAACAAAGCTACAGGAGAACAAATTGCATGGCGAATTAGCCTGTCACAGTAAAAACATGGGTTCCTTAAAATGGCTCCATGGAGACGAACTGTACAATATTCAAGTCTCTGAATACTGCTCCCTGTTGAGAAGGTCCCATTTAAAAAATGCTTTTATCACTTTTTGCTCTAACATAGCCACTCTTAATAGCTGACTTTCTATAAATTCAGTCTTTCAGTCTCCTACCTGTCCCAGACTGAAGAAAGGACACATATTACAGACATCACTAGAGAACAACTTGAGTGGGAATTTTATGTAAGGTCTGAAGGACAGGACCCAGAATATAGAAGACATATACCAGACCCATGAATATATTGTAATATGCATCCCATCTACATACCATTACTGTGTGATAAAAATTAAAAGTATTGCACTAACCAGTATTACTCTATTTTCTCTTCCCTGTTTGGTGGAATACACTAAATTGACAAAACTGGAGAAATAATTCTAGAATAAATTGTAGCCATGTGTTCTGAAGATCGACACCCATTTTCATAATGCTCCAAAACTTTTTAATTGTTGAAATGTAAAATGCTCCTTTATATTTAAGAAAAAAGTGAAGAGGGGAGGGATATCCCACCCATAGCCAATGCTGTTACTTTTCAATCTTGTGAAAACAGCTAAAATATCAGAATTTTGGCAGCATTCTGAGCTAGGCCATTAATTCCATGTCTGTTCTAACTGCATCAAAACAGCACATCAGCTGTTGAAATGAATGAAATCACAAAATGAAATCAATTTATCTTACCACTGATCCAAAATGTAATTTCTAATTTTCAGATAGCGCTCTGGTGTTTTGGCCTGACGTCCCTCAAAAAATTCTGGAATCGCTTGCTTTTCTTCTCCCAGAATGACATTTCTATCAATTTCCACTTCTTGATCAGGCGGTTTAAGCTCCTCTGCTTCTTCTTGATTTTCTTCATCCAATTGGCAAGACGGATGGAAAAGCATTTCATTATTAACTAAGTCCTTCTGCTCTTCATTATGTTCTTGATCAACTAATTGCTTGGTGTCATCAAAAGTCCCTTTTTTGTCTTGCTCACTTTTCTCTGTAAATTCATTAAATTGCAGATAAACTGATTTCACAGATTCATCACCATTCACGCTCTGTTTCTCAGAGCATGTGGCTGCAATGTCTGGAAATTCCAGTGCTTCTACCTTGCCTTGCTCAGCCTTTTGAAAGTTGTCTTCTGCAAATTGGGGAATTGCAGAATTGTAGCCAGCAGACCAAAAAGTGTGTTCTCTTCCTCTGGTTTCTTGAATTGGACTCTTCGGAATATCAGTTAATTTAGATTTGCCAGGTTCCGGTGGGGGTGCATGAGAAAGCAGCTCATCCATTTCATCCGTGATGTCTACTTCTTCATCATCCGATAACTTTTCAATTTTCACTGCGTTCAGGTTGGGGTCTGCACGGCCCCTCAGGTTTGCAGGTGCCCATGCCGCCACCTTCTCTCCTTCATCCTCAACAGGAAGACTATTGCTGCTGTACTGACTTTGTTCCTCTTTTTCAGAGTCATCAGTTTTTGCCTTAAGAAAGTATAAATGGATTATAAGAAAAATTAAGCATTCCCCAATAATGAAGTTTAAATGAAAAAGAACACTATTAAAATCAACGGCATAATCAATTTGGTTCAGACGAGAGGGATCATTAAGTTTTATGTATTAATTTACAAAGCTTGTCTTTTTTAAATTGGGTCCAATGTTCAGCTTTCATTATGTTCTCCTTCAAAGGGCAGTCCTATATTTCATTATTTTATACTTTTATATAAGTATAAATAAAATAAAAGTTTTATATACTATATATATAAAAGAGATTAAGAAAGGACTGGCTGGCAAAGCTTCCAGAATTGTGGATATCGAGCATTAGAGTTAACATTCATCAGCTAATTTATATTATCTCAGCTCATTTTACTTATAAGAAGAAACTATACATTAAGGCAGGGGTAGGCAACCTATGGCACGTGTGCCAAAGGCGGCACGCGAGCTGATTTTCAGTGGCACTCACACCGCCCGGGTCCTGGCCACCGGTCCGGGGGGCTCTGCATTTTAATTTAATTTTAAATGAAACTTCTTAAACATTTAAAAAACCTTATTTACTTTACATATAACAATAGTTTAGTTATATATTATAGACTTATAGAAAGAGACCTTCTAAAAATGTTAAAATGTATTACTTGCACGCAAAACTTTAAATTAGAGTGAATAAATGAAGACTCGGCACACCACTTCTGAAAGGTTGTCGATCCCTGCATTAAGGAAATCATCTTCAGGTTTTTCTTACTGATTTTTGTTTTAAAAAGTAAAACATCGAAAAAATGCAGACTTTAAGGAACTTATGCAGCATTATGGATGTGCGTGACACTTGATATTCAAAATAAGCCCAGTCCAGAGGATATTATAATGTATGTATTTATTAGTAGCTAAAGTATACACAATTGTCTTTTAAAAAAGGTCCCAGAAGAGTTCAGCTGCCAGTGGGAAATGACATTATATTGGACAGTTGCAACTTCTGAGTAGTCAGAGGCCAATCTGTTTTCAATCTAGTAATGTATCCCAAGTATGTTGGTGTCCTATAAAACACACCATATTGTTTATTGCTTGTTAGAGGATTTAAAATTCCCAACAAGATTAGAATAATTCCAAACCAGGTCAAATTTCAGATTTAAAAATCAGCAGATAAGCAATATTTCAACAATAACGTCCCATAAATGCATGTTTGCATTCAAAATATATGAGAGGAGCATACTTGCGCCCTACTGCCTTTTTTACTAACAGAAAATGGCATTTCATGTTTACCTTGTTCTTAAAGTACTGCCTGGCATAACTCTTTACTTGTAGAACAGTGCGACTTCCAACCAACTTGGCAATTTTTGTCCATCTTCGGCCAAATTTAGCCTAGTGTGACAAAATAAATTAAAATCAACCAATCTTTTCTACATCTAAGTATCATTCTTTATGCAAGGAGAAAAAGTTTTACAGAAGCAATTATTTATTAGAAATAAAAAATACTACTCAATCATTGCAAAAAGTCCTATTAACTAGACACTGGACAGCCAGAAATTATGTTTAAGCAATAAGTATTATGAATTCACTGCCCCTTTATTCGGAGACTCATCAATGGCCTGATCCTGAAAGCACTAAAACATACTGGTTATTACCTTGAGGAGTCCCATTGAAGGTAATTAAGTGTTTGCAGGACTGGATCATGCATTTGTGTAATACTGTAGCACTCTGCATTCCACTCTTGCACACAAAAGAGCTCAACTTACTCAAAGTCTGAACCACAATCTAAATCTGCATCTAAGTTGCTTAAATTAAAAGTTTACTCAGAGAGGAGCTCACAGCATATAGTATGTTGCTACAAAACGGACTGATCTCTTCCCTTTTAAGAGTTAAATACTGAATTATAGAAGTCTCATTAAATTAAAGCACTACTAAATTTAAATAAGTCTCTTAGAACTCTGGTCCTGCTCTTTCCAAACAGGTCCATAGTTTTACATACCCACTTCATTCCATTTCTTAACTACACCGTATATAAAAAGTAAAAACCCAACAGTTCATATATGTGCACCTTCACTCCAAGTACTCTGAATGAATAAAAGACCAGATTCAGACCCTGATCTCGCAAAGATTTATAAACATGCTTAATTTTATGCACTCTGAGTCCCACCAAAGTCAATGGAACTACTCACAGTATTAACAATATACGTTGAGTTTCTACAGGATTGGGGTCTTTAATTATGCATAAAAGGCAATGCTAACACAACCTCAAGATTAAGATTTTTTTTAAACCTTAAAATATGGTTCTAATTGAAAGTGATTAAAAGTTTCATTGGAGGAAATCAAAAATTATTGAGGGCCCATATCAAATGTGCTCATTTTAAAGTGAAAAGATTATTTTTCCTAACTGCCAGTCCTACATGCTTACCCTGGGTTCTAAAAGTCAAACTCGGTTCTTTTCTTTAAACACATTACCACTTGTAATAGATAGATACATTGGAGGCCAAATTCCACCCATGCCAAATTCTTCCAGAGTGTCTAAATGCAAATTGACACACATGTATCTGTGCTAGACTGAGAGTGTTATATCATCAGATGAGTGAATCTAATCAGGAAGTTTGCACTGGTTCACCTTAAATGTGAATGTTTACTATGAAGCTATGTCCTCAACAATGTTCCCTCTAATTTTTTCCACCCATGTGCGGAATAAATTTTGTTATGTGCACCAAGGTAATGTGCGGATGTGTGCCACCAGTAGAAACAAAATACCTAGATATAATATATATTTTTTAAAAGTTACCAATAGGGATAATTACTCCAGCCAGGACAAGACAGGCATTTTAGAACTCACTACTCAAAGAATTAAATTTAAGTGTAAGAGAGAAATAAAAATTATGAAATGCATAGACCAGTCAAAAAACTAAAATAACACACTTTGAAAGAATATAATTACAGAGAATATATGTGCATTGCAGGAAGTACCAAGAACTAACAACAACAACAACAGTGTTGGGAGGTGTGTGACACAGACTGTGTGTGCTGACTGCTCGGGAAGTTTCTGAGAGATGCCCATCTGCTGTCTCTTTAAGGCACTCACTGAAAGCTCTCCTCCTCCTGAACCATGTTCCCCCCTCCCCAGCTCTGCAGAGATGGGGTACATGGGCCGGGGGGCGGGGGGGGAGAGGCAGGAGGAGAGAAAGTGTAAGTGAGTTGGCTGCTGGGGAAGTCTCTGAGAAACCGTGCGCTCTCTCTTTAAGGCACTCACTCACCCAAAGACTTGCTCAGACCTCAGAGCTGCTGTGAGTCCTGAGCCCTGTCCCCTCTCCCCTGCTCTGTGGAGATGGGGTAGAGGGGCTGGGGGAGGGGGATAGCCTGACATTAGCACCCTCCTTCCTACTGCTCTGCACAACCAGCAGGAGGGTCCCAGGAGCAGCTGCAGGAGCAATGTGGCTGAAAAGCAGTGGGGGGTGAGAGGGACACCTGAACACATGCTGCCAGCTGGATCTGCCTGGCTCTGCTAATCAACTGCGTGGCATCTGAATCTCTCCTGGGCAGCCCCCCAACCACACAGCTTACAGGGAACACAGGCTCCTAATCATTCAAGAAGCTCTCTGCCAGAGGACCGATGTACCTTTGCAGGTCTGGGGTCTAAAGTTACCATGTAGGGAGGCACAATACTTTGCATCCTTCTAACTACTGTTTAAGCAGTATTACTTTCAATATTCTATAGCAATATGATTTTCAAAGTCAAAGTAGGCCCATTAAAAAGCAATGCCCACTACAACATTCAAAGGCACTACTTGCAAAGGCACTACTTGCAAACACCCTTGGTGTTCACACCTCAACTGCTAGCAGAGCACCTCGCCCTCCCTGATTGAACTAACCTCATTATCTCCATACTGATTTATACCTGCCTCTGGAGATTTCCATTACTTGCATCTGAAGAGTGAGGTTCTTACCCACAAAAGCTTATGCTCCCAATACTTCTGTTAGTCTTAAAGGTGCCACAGGACCCTCTGTTACTTTTTACAGATTCAGACTAACACAGCTACCCCTCTGATACTTGCAAAGGGCTATTTGCTTGACAAAATACAACTTTCTATACCCGGCTATTTCAGTTGAAGAGATGTCGAAAATAAAGTTACAAGAGTTAGAATTTTTTTAATGGTGAAAATGTATTTTTTACGTTGTCTTCATAATAAAAAAATGGATTAAATATTTTTGCTCAAACTTTCAAGACAATATTAATCTTTTGAAGAAACCAGGGCTGAAAAACTTTTACCTGCCAGGCCGACATTTGCTAAAGTTATGAACAACTCAAACATGAAATTAGAATAGAAATACTACAGCAGCCTTTACTTTAGCTGCTGTTAGTGCATCTTCTATAATATTATATATATACAAGCTTTAAAAAGAAAAGCATGCTTACAAAAATCATTAGACGTAATCATTGCAATGACACTACAAGAACACAACTTGCAATCATCCATCCAAGTAGTAATTAAGACTAATTCTGCTGTGTTTTACATGTCAGATTAGATATATCGTCCAAAGAACAGCAAAGCCTTCTGTTTTCAAGCAAAGAACTAGTAAAGCCTTGCTAAAATCAATGAGACTGGGAAGGTCCAGGGATTCACCCACCTGGATCTCCTTGCATTGTCAGGGGCCTGTGTCTGTTTATTGTCGTTTTTTCGCAGAGCAATAGGTAAGAGAAAAATATTTTTAGAAAATCTGACTGGAAGTCACAAAAGTTAGCAGGATGATTCAGAGATTGGTGTATTTATTACATACGTTACAGTAATGTCTAGAGGCAACAGCCAGGCTGGGGTCCCACTGTGCTGTACTCTATACCAACATATAAAAAAAGCTCCAAAGTGCGTACATTAGTGTCTGGGGAAAATGTTTTTTCCGTTTACTAGATTTCAAGGCACCCCTTCATGTTTGACACTTCCTTTGTAAACTACAGCACTGCTATTGTAACACTGCAATAGACAAATCAGTAGACCGTGGGACAGTCTAAGGCCCAAATCCTGCAACTGGATCTGGGCAGGCAGACCCTTGTGAACAAACCAAGCTGTGCTGACTTCGATGGAGATTCACAAACACAGATGTGACTGTGTGACCAGGGCCTAAGTGTGCCTGATTTACTATCCCATTGTTAGCAATTGGAAATTATTTTTAACAAGTTAAAAATGAAAAATTAGCAACTTAGTGCACTGCAGTTATTTTTATTTTGCAATGAGAACGCCATTCTTTTTTTATGAAAAAGGTTAATATTGCATTTATTTTTTAAAATGAGCTCGTTTTTTTTGTTTTGTTTTTTTACAGAAAATTGAACACTGAAAAATACAATATTTACCAGTCCTTGTTCAAATAGCTCTTTTTCTTCTATTGTCCACTTTACTGAGCAGCTTGCTGATTTTGTAGGTGAGCGAACCCTAAAAGAATAAGAAAAGGCAAGTGCCTTTTTAATGAATGCACATTTCCAAAAGATTACAACAATTTCTGAAATGTGGATTATTATACTTCTTTAACGGAAACTTAGGGGATTTGTTTTAAACTTTAATACTTTTGATAAGAGAACTAATTCTGGAAGGCTTTTGTATTACAGAAGTTAATTCAAAGCAGCACAACACCCATCCACAACTTATTTGCAGAGGGTTGTGTCTGGGGGGTGGACAGGCAACAAGGAAACTGCAAGCAGTAGAAAGCCAACTGTAATTGTTCTTTTTTGTGATGTGGACATGTCCTTCAGAAATCAAGTTAATTTAATACAGGCCATTTAACAGTCAAAAGACAATGTCCCTTTAACAATCTTACACAACCAAAGAAACAAGACTAAAGGTTAAAGGGGAGGTACAACTGACTTTTTATGCTAGTGTTCTTTTTCATTTATGTTAAGGTAAAGAGCACTTAAAAATACAACTCAATTATTCAAAAAGTACATACATGACTTTTCCTGTTTTCTTATGTGGACTGTAAAACAAAAACAAAAAAATGGTGACTGCTGATCTTAGCAAATATATACATTTCAAAGAAAGTCTCATTCCTGCCCCAAATTTCTACTATTCCATCATTTCTTTTCCCCCCCAACAGCAATTTTACCTTTTCACAGACTTTTTGTCACCTTCCTTTTGATCAAGCCATATTTTTTCTGGAAGCGATTTATTAGATAAGTAATACCTGCAACCTTTACTAAGGAATTTTTGGATACAAAGAACAGAACTATATACATGCAAAAATTCTGATAAAATTGCCACTGGTTTAAAATACTATTGAGTTAAACAAAGGAGGAAGTGACTGTTTGACTTTGTAAACCAAATACTCACATTATTTCTAATAAACTAGCCATTCTGCTTCCTCCACAGCCTGTTTTCCCTTATGACTTCGACACAGTAGTAGGACATTTTCTTCTCATCAATATCAAACACTACAGCCTTTTTGCAATTCAAGTCTGAATAATTTATTCCCTTGGTAAAAATATTCTGTACTGACACTTTGTTGTTCCTCTGTAAAGTACTTTATTTCAAAGAAAAAAGGACAGGAAAACAGAGGTAACTCACATTTGTTAATATGGTCACCTAACCAGCTAACTGGGATTAAGTATCTCAGCAATATTAGGAGCTCTCATATTGTCAAGAAGCATGAAGTGTTTCTCAGAAGTGGCATTAAAAGAGCTCTTGCAATGGATAGGTTTTTTTTACCACCAAAGATATGAGTGAGTGTTAAGTGGAAAAAACCCAGGAGAATCATGAAGTTAGGGGCACCTGAACTTTATCGATGTGTATATAAAAATTCCCTTGAAATAAAATACTTTGCAGTTATATAAACTCTGTCATCTGAGAAATGAAATGTGCTTTATATGCATTAATAATCATCACAACAGCCATATGTGGTATTACTACTAAACCCATTTTAAAGATGGGAAACAGGCACAAAAAGGTTAAGGGTACATCTACGCAGCAAAGAAAAACCCGTGGCACCAACTCTCAGAACCCAATCAATTGACTCAGGCTTGTGGAACTAGGGCTGAGGGGCTAAAAATAGCAGTGTAGAAGATTCCCACCCGGGCTGGAGCCTGGGTTCTGAAACCCATAAGGAGGGAGGGTCTCAGAGTCTAGGCTCCAGCCCAAGTAGAACCATCTACACTGCTATTTTTATCTCTGCAACCTGAGCTCCATGAGCCCGAGTCAATTGACCCAGGCTCTGAAACTTGGTGTAGCGGGTGTTTTATTGCAGTGTAGACATACTCTATGAGACTCGTCAAAGCCTGAGGAAGCTGAGGGTTGCAGAGTGGCTGAGCAGGGTACTGAATTCAGGTGTATTATCTCATACTTCCATGCTCTAACTACTGGAGCAGAGTGCTTCAAGTTCAGTAAACACTAATCTCTTTTAAAAGAATCCACTATATAACTGCTTCCTACTAGAACAGAGGATTTTATATTGCCCTAGGAAAGGAACAGACATATAAGCAATTTGATAAAAGGATACTCTTCTTCCAACAACATTTTCTCAATGACGGCCCTGTTCTCTTCACTAATGTTGCTATCCAGTGTCCATGGCTGGAAATGACAGACACATTTTTCAATTATTTTCTTTGACACACAAATATCTAATACTTCCTCTAAAGCAAAACCAATCACAGGGGGTTTTTTTTGTTTTTTTTTTAGAAAAAATAAAAACATTAATTTATGTTCTCAAGTGGCTGGAGAAGAAATACAAAGTTTTGAAAATCTCTGTGAAAGATGTACCATTCATTTAAAACAAACAAACCAAAAAGTCTTTATTTCCTATAAATTACTTACAAGGCCGTTATCCGTTCTCCAAGATGAATCAAGGTAGTGATCTTGCAATAAGCCAGAAGCTATAGTTTCATAGTCTCTGTAATAAAATTTTCAATCATTTTAAAGAAGGAAAAAAAAGATCTGAAAGTTCATATCATCAATAATGCAAACACTTTAAAAGAAAACAGGTAACCTTGTCAGAATTGACATAAAAATTTGGACTTTTATAGTGTTACTTGTATTCATTAACATAAGAATAACACAGAGATTCTAAAATTAAAAGAGGTCATTTATATTTTGTAGAAATATTATGTAGGGCTAGCCTTTCATAAGATTTTCATTGAGCAAAGTGTCAATGACCCCCTCACAGGAAGGGACCTAAGCTTTTCTTTAATATTTTTCAAACTGTTAGGGCTCTTACTAACAGTAGTATCTCTTTCTTCGTGTTGTAGAATCATGCATAAAGTATCAGCAAAATCAATTTCTGTTTTACTGAAAAGTTAAAAATTTTCTTCCAAAAGAGACTGAAAAGAAAGTGGGAGCAAAGCTGTGAAGTATAAATACATAACACAGGCACCAGAGTCTCGTAGTTGCTAGAAGACAGAAGTTTTATTTTCAGTTGTCACTGCCTTCTTGCTTGATCCTCATTTAACCTCTGTCCCTCAATTTCCCCAGGTGTAAAATAGAAACAACAATCCCCTTGGTAAAGGGCCAAGGTCCCTGTAGGAAAGGTACTATTTTAGAAAAATGTAATTCTTAAGGATAATCAAATATCAGTCTTTAATAAAACTGGTAACCAGGGCCGGCGCAACCCATTAGGCGACCTAGGCGGTCGCCTAGGGTGCTACAATTTGGGGGGCGGCGACCGCGGCAGTATTTCGGCGGCGGGACCTTCCGCCGCCTCTGTGGGGGGAGGCATTTCGGGGCGGCGGAAAAGCTGGCGGCGCTCCTGCTGATAACCTTCACGTGTACTAGTATTTAGGGCACAGCTGAACGATGTGATACCTCATGGCATTAATACTTTAAGAAACCCAGAAACAAGTCCTATGGTTATAGAAGCTCTCATTTTAGTATACTGCATATATTGTATATGCTAAATAAGCTAGTGGAAGCTGAGGGAACACTTTGGACTACTAAGCTTTTTTTTTGTTTAGCTGCATTAAGTAAGAAATTACTGTAATTGAGAGGAAAATGGACAATTCCTATGAGAACTGTTTTGGAAAATATTATGTATTCTTAAAATCTTTTATATTCCCCTTCAGAAAGGGACAAATATTCTGAAAGTATTCTGAGTTTAAGATGCTGCTGCTGTATGAAGAATAAACACATCAGCATTTGATTCACTTAGAAGCCATCACTTGAGGTTGATGATGAGGGTAAAGTATTGTCACCTTCCGCTAAGCATAAAAAATTGCACTGAGATTACAAGAGGGGAAAGAGACTGAGGACTGTGGGGTCCAACTGCACATGCAAATCCTTTCAATAAAGGGAAAGCAAAATGCTAAAGTGCCTGGACTTCCTTTGTGATCATAAAAAGTAACAACGAGTAAAGAGTTTTTTAAACTTCTCAGAATCATTGAAAGAGATGGAGAAAAACTATTAGCTCATTTACCCCCAACATCCTGTCACTGCAGAATTGTTATATTGGTCATTGCTTTGTCCAGTCTAATCTGGTCATTTTCAGGGCAGGTCTACACATAAAAAGCGGCAGCAGTGTAGCTGCACCGATGTAGCATATTTTTGAGAATACTATTATGTTTCTCCTGTTGGGGTATTTCACCTCCTCGAGAGGCGGTAGCTATGTTGGCGGGAGAAACTCTCCTGTCAGCATAGTCCTGTCTACACCAGGGATTAGGTCAGTACAACGGCGTCACTCAGAGCTGTGGATTTTTCACACCCTGAGCGACATAGTTATACTGATATAAGTTTGTCGTCTAGACCCGGCCTAAGTGAGGCAATTACTGTCGCCCTGGGGAAATTACCATACAAACTGACATTTTACTGTTGGAAAACGTTCCCTGATAATCAACATAAGATTTCCTTAGTTCAACTTCATCCAATTACTAGGAAACTCACTCTTCCCTGAAAACAGTTATTAGCCATGTGCCACCCCTGAGGTGGTGCTGAAAACAGTTTAACTGATAAACAAGACTAAACTCTTTTCTCCCACCAGTTCCAGGTACCCCACTGGAGACAATATATCAGTTTCTTAGAGTGGAGAAAGCTCTAATTATAGGCCCCCTTGGTACATACTAAAAAAAAAAAAAAAAAAAAATTATCTTCCCACATAAAATACATTTGACTCAGGACACCCTTTTCGGAAATATACAAAAAATGTGATTTTAGGCATCAGAAAATTTGAGAACCACGAAGATGGGCAATGCATGCAATAAACACCCCAGGTTACACACATCCCACAAGGGCTCCTTCTGCAAAACAGTTTTATTTTATAAAGCACCTGTCACACACACTATGGCTTGGTCTACACTGAAGTTATACTGGCATACATATGTCAGTCAGAGGTGTGAAAAAACACACCCGACTGAGGTATCTATGCCAACAAAACCCCAGTGGAGATGCAGCCATGTTGACAGAGGAGGGCTTCTATTGACATAGCTAACTTTGGTCAGGGATCAGAGGGGTAGCTGTGTTAGTCTGAATCTGTAAGAAGCAACAGAGGGTCCTGTGGCACCTTTAAGACTAACAGAAGTATTGGGAGCAT